AGAGAGTGTGTGTGTGTGTGCGCGTGTGTGTGCGCACGCGTGCACATGTGGGTTATGTATATATCACATTGTGTGACCAAACATCTCCACGATGTGATTAAAGTCCTGTTATTTAGTGTCTATGTGTGTCTGTGAGCATATGCGCAGGTGCTGCTGATCAGCATTCGCCTGCACGTGTGACTGCTGCTCCTGCATTGCAGTGCCCAAACATCCTGGCTCTGCTGCGGCGTCCCCCCCAAAATCCAACACTGCTGCCAGCTCACTCTGCCTCCACTCAGCCTCCACACACCGAGCGAATGGACCGCATATGGGCCAGACCCACCTCTTAATTCCGATGTATTAAACGGTATTAATTGTGATGCGTTAAATGATCATCAGGATCGTAAGGGTCTGCTCATCTTTCCAGTACGGCTCTGCCCACCTGCTTGTCACTAACCAATGGCGTTGCACAGTCTGGAATTAGCCACATGCCAATTAGAAGTAGAGAGTTTAATTAGTGAGGCCGAGATGGACTGGGACTGGGCCGAGTTTCTATGGAGACCCTCGGAAAGACCTGACTTTATAAATTGGTTGGCACTGCCAAACGCACACTGAGCACTGACCTGATTTTTATATAAAATGACGTCTCCAGTTTCCACATTGGGACTCAATATTATTCTTTTTTACCTTATTGTCACTCTATTGGAGACTCTGCAGGTGGCAGTGTGATATTTCATTGACCTCATCGCATTCTCGCACCGGCAATAAATGTTCCTCTTGCAGTGTGAGCCTGACTGAAGGTGTTTTTCTCAGTCTGCTTTCCCGCCATCACGGTCAAGGACAGCCACCGCACTGCCTGCCGCGAATGTCGACCGTGATTTTAGGCAGTCCATCATGGACGCAGCCTGCGATTGAGCACTCTCAGTGTTTTCACCTCCTCGGCTTTATTTGGATAGGTTTTCTTTGTGTCTTCTGGGAGATCTGAGTCAATCAAAGACCCGATTCGCCTTTTCACCCGCGAGGCGGAATGCCGCGCTGAATTCGGAAATGAACAGTGAATTAAAAGCATGAACTGGGAGCCCCATTCCAAAACCGGTGGAAACCGGTCAGAGCGCCGTAACTCACACTAGCGTAGCCTGAGGACAGCATCACACATTACGGCGAAGACCAGACTTATCTCTCCTAATCAGGTTATCGAGACCTTTTTAACATTTTTATTTGTTTGTATGTATTAATGCCTTTTTCACTTCTGTTTTCACAGCACACATTTCGCACTGCTGTATGATTCTGCCTGCCTCTGCTTTCATGCTATGGGTCTTTGTCCTCAAGGCTTCATCACTCCTGAAATAATAGACAGATCTAAGCTGGACCTCAGCCACTCAGCACCCGGTTCAAATTGCTTCTCTTCCACCTCTGGCTTCTGTTAACTTTGTGGATGAACAAATCCAGTTTCCTATTCCATAATAATAATAATAATAATAATATCCATCCACAGGTGAGGTTGCTGGGTTACACCAGCCCTCCTCTCTTATCTCTGCTGGTATCTTCCTCACCCTCTTCCTGCCCTGTAACCCCTGTCTTGCTGCTGTCACATCCTTATATACCACTGGGGGGAGGGGTGGGCAATGTGGTAAATCACCCACCTGTATGGGATCTGTGGCAGATATACTGCACACTTAGTGAGCCTCTAACCTACCAGGGCTGGGCTCTGACGGCTTTAATGCTAATCCATAACACTTGGGCTGTGATTTAAGGGTTCCGGGTGCTGCACCTGCTTAACGAGATGGATTTCCATATGCCGTGGGCCCAGGGACGCGGACGGCAGGCTCTGAGGTCAAGCAGACGGGCACGGAGGACAGCAAGTGTGTCTGTCTGGATGGAGATCTCCATATGTTTCCAAGACAACCATAGTAAAGTAGGGGTTTTCGGGAGGGGTCAGCATAAGAGTGCTGAAATCTCCTGATCATTGCTCAAAGCATTGTGGGAAAAAGCAATGAGTAGGAACCACAACCGGACCAACGATGGCACCTCTCCTTATGTCAATGTCCTGTCTGTCATTGTGGGGCTTCTTTGTTCTGCTGTGATGGGGATTTCCTTGCTCTGTCACCCTCTCTGGCAGATCACCTTCTTCATGCTGCTCTCAGCCGTGTGCGTGATGCTTAACCTGGCCGGGTCCATCCTGTCCTGTCAGAATGCCCAGCTGGTCAACTCCCTGGAGGACTGTCAACTGGTAAGAGCTTCCTAGCATGTTTTCCAGCTGACCCACATGCTACATCCTCTGGCTACGTTTCAGAATAGTCCCTTTCTAACGTGTCCTTAGGCAGAAACAAACATTGACTAGATGGATTCTTTCAGATGGCACCTCTGATTAACAGTGGGCCCTTTATCCTGTTCCGCAAATGTTTATTGTGGGTTAGCAGAGAGCTTACGCTGGGTGCCATGTGGGCTGTCATATGTATCTACACAGCCCACGAAGTCGTATAACCTGCAGATGGCAATGAATGCCTGTCACTGTAATGCTTCACCGATGTTATGATTAAGTGCGGCCCTCTCACCGTGAAGCTCGCGGTGTAATTATCAAGAAAGCTGTCAGTATCTGGGGGAGGCTTTGCAATTCATCTGGCCCAGCAGTCAGTCAGCACATCTTTCGTTATTGTTAACCGTGCCCTATATCTAAGTGAGCACCCATTGTGACTCTGTTAGACATCAGATGTCAAACTCCCAGAATGCCCCGGATAGTATATGCAGCAGGAGATCGGTGTCCATTTGTTTTTATTAGAGAAGCGACCCAGAACGGGCCACGTCAGTGCTCTCCGGCCCGAGGGGGGCGCTGATCTGGTTCCAGCCGCTTTGCTCTGCACTGTTCTGACTGTTCCGTCGGGCTCACATATGCCTGTAGTCAAAAGGGCAGCAAACTTCCCCCCCTACAGGAGCCTCTGCTTGTGTCTCCCACCTGCCGCTGTACTCCGCCAACTTCAGCTTCGTTAAATTAGCCTCAAAATTAAAAAGAGTGCCATTTAAATGGGGGGCACTTCGCGGAGTGAGGGCTGAGGGCAACTCACCCCCCTCACCTCTGGTAAGAGAATTTTAATTATTTTCATTCTGATTAGTAGATCATCTCTTAAACATCTATTACAAAACAGTAGTACAGTAATTGACATTTAAATCTGGCTTTTTTTTAGTTGCCTGCCTGCAATTATCATTAATTGAGTGTTGCTATAGCCACATTACTCATGTGCAATTTTTAGTTCATTTTTCTTTGCAATAACAGTTATACATCTATTTTTAGGCTAGCAATGAGATCATGTAAAAGAAGTGGTATTTGAATTGATTAGAGCCCAGGTCTTGACTGTCTCGGAACAGCTGTGGTGTGCGAGTGAGGGTTAGCAGGCTGGCTGATGTGTGTCCCGTGGGAGAACCTGTTCCTATTCCTGTACTGTACGTGCCCGGTGTGTCCTGTTGGGGGACCTGTTCCCATTCGCGCGTGGTGTGTCCCATTGGGGGACCTGTTCCCGTTCCTGTATGTGCCTGGTGTGTCTCGTTGGGGGACCTGTCCCTGTTTCTGTGCGTGGTGTGTGCTGTTGGGAGATCTGTTCCCGTTCGCGCGTGGTTTGTCCTGTTGGGGGACCTATTCCCATTCCTGTAAACGGTGTGTCCCGTAGGGGGACCTGTCCCTGTTTCCGTGTGTGGTGTGTGCTGTTGGGGGACCTCTTCCTGTTCCATGTACGGGAAGAGGAACAGGTCCCCCAACGGGACACATCATGTACGGGAACAGGAACAGATCCCTCAATGAGACCACGTACGGGAATGGGAACAGGTCCCCCAATGGGACACACCGCTCGCGTACGGGAACAGGAAGAGGTCCCCCAACAGCACACACCGTGTACAGGAATGGGAACAGATCCCTCAACGAGACCGGTTCCCATTCCTGTACGTGGTGTGTCCCGTTTGGGGACCTGTTCCCATTTTCTTTCACGCGGTGTGTCCTGTTGGAGGACCTGTTCCCATTCCTGTAAGCGGTGTGTGCTGTTAGGGGACCTGTTCCCATTCTTGTTCGCACGCAGGTTGTCCCATTAGGGGATATATTCCGATTCCCGTAAGTGGTGTGTCCCGTTGGGAGACCTGTTCCTGTTTCCAAGTGCGGCATGTGCTGTTGGGGGACCTCTTCCCATTCCCATACATGATCTCATTGAGGGATCTGTTCCTGTTCCCGTACATGTTGTGTCCCATTAGGGACCTGTTCCCATTCCCGTACGCGAGCGGTGTGTCCCATTGGGGGACCTGTTCCCATTCCCGTACATGATCTCATTGAGGGATCTGTTCCTGTTCCCGTACATGTTGTGTCCCGTTGGGGGACCTGTTCTCGTTCCTGTACGTGGTGTGTCCCATTAGGGACCTGTTCCCATTCCCGTACGCGAGTGGTGTGTCCCATTGGGAGACCTGTTCCCATCCCCATTCACGCTCGGTATGTCCCATTGGGGGACCTATTCCTATTCCCGTAAGCGGTGTGTCTTGTTGGGGAACCTGTTCCTGTTCCCGTACGCGGTGTGTCCTGAGTCAGGGCTTCCTGATTTCCCAGCTCTATTCAATTCAATTTTATTTATGTAGCGCTTTTAACAATAATCATTGTCACAAAGCACTTTACATATAACTGGTCTGCACCCCAACTAAGCAAGCCTGAGGCGACAGTGGCAAGGAAAAACTTCCTCTAGCAGGAAGAAACCTTGAGAGGAACCTAGACTCGAAAGGGGACCCCATCCTCCTTCGGGCGACCGGGGTGCATGAAAATATATTCACATCAACATTAGTTCAAAAGTTCACATCCATATGGGGTCTCTAGCGTTCCTCATCCATCCTGCTCCTCAGCATAGCTTAATAGGACTTGTTTGCATGAATGGTGCAATTCGCAGAATGTTGCTTTTTTTATTTTGACATAATGTCAAATGCATCACAATGTTTTAGAACTTCAGCGGATAGGGAGTTTGAATCTCGCTACTTCTTCTGTGTGACTGCAGTTTGCGTGTTCCCTCGGCTGGGATCCTCCCAACATACCTAATTGATTTCTCTAAATTGACCATAATGAGTGTGTTTGTATGTGCCTTGTGATGGACCTGCATCCCTGTCCTGTTCTCTGTGCCTCGTGGAACAGACCCCAGGCTCTCTGTGTCACATGGATGCATTGCATTTATATATTGTGATATACATAATTACACTATCATATTCATTGTATCTTTAAATATATGTTAAGTGGATGATTGTATTCTTAAAATGTAACAGTTTTGTCGATTTATTTAAGTACATATTTAGCCTCCGTAATGACGGCTACTGCACATTCTAGATGGGCTCTGTCTGTGGGCTTGATCCCCCACCTATCTACTCCCTGATTCTAACCACTGACGGATCTGCGTTCAGTCTGTGTCGTCTGAAAACAGCTCCCGCTGGCCTTCAAGCTGCATGATGTGCAGCTGGTTTTGTTAATAGTGCCTTAATCTGTCTCATTAGACCATCAGGTATGAATAAACACAATAGATAACATTCTGGACAGACCTTATTCAGATCATCTGCTATTTACCTTATAGGCCCACACACAAACACAGTGGCCTCAGCCAAGGCCTGACCGGCGCTGGTGGCGGACGGTGTTCCCTCCGCCGGCCCAACCTGCCCCGTGGCGCAAGAGCATGTAGGTCACATGCTCCACTGGGGCATAAGTGGGAGGACTGGCAGAAGGTTTTGGTGCCTGGGCTGTGCCAGAGGGACCTGCTCATGTCACCATCAGTGTGTTTCAGATTTCTTATGGATCTGGTGCATTCTGGGTTTTGTTTAGGCTGAGCTCATGTCCCCCCTCCCTGACCCGAGCGGTGACCTCACCACACCAGAAAAGCTTAGAGGCAAAGCACAGTCATCGGGGGCTGAGTGACAGATGCCACACTGGCAGAGTGAAGAGGAGGATCTTTCGGGCCAGACTCGGCCGAACGCGCTGGTTATATAAGGCCGTGGCTTTAGAACCGCAAGCCCCCCAAAGGATCGTCTTGTTCTTCTTTAGGAGCCAGTATGTTCCATCTTGCTTCAATCCCTGGGAGTAAAATCGATATGTAACATGCGGCTGCAGCCGTCTTTATTGTGTAACAAGTGAAGCTCTCATGGCACGAAAAGCACTAAGGAAAATCGTTTGTACTGTAAATGTTACACTAGTGTCTAGTTACTTGCTTAAGAGATAATGGGCCATGGGGTCATCTTAAGTGTCCTCAGGGTTTTTATTCTGTCGGAAAAGTATCCTTAATGATGGTGGTAAACGATGGTGTCTGATAACATCAGCGAGAAGCGTGTGAACTGCTCCAACGGCCACGAGTCCATGGTAGTCAGTGCTGCCGGGTTTCAGGGTGAACCAGGGGAAGCACAGACAAGCAGGTGAGTCTTACAGATGCCTGCCTTTTGGTGTGTGATTTATGCATGTCAACTCCACACAAAAACCACAAGAGAAGTGAATTTCAGGGGACCTTTCAGGCTGGGGCTGCCCGTATGTCTGCCCGTTAGACTCCCTCGCTGTGTCTCGCCCTCCCCAGATCAAGTTCGACAGCGACGGGGTGTGTCTGTGCTGTGAGCTCCAGCAGAGGAGCTCAGGCTGCACCAACCTGGGGGAGACGCTGAAGCTGAACCCCCTGCGAGATTGCAACACCATCCGGCTGCGGCTCAAGGTGAGCACCCTCCGCTGCTCCCCCCCCCCTCCACCTGCTTCACGTCCTCTCTGCCTCGCACGCCCCATCACTATCTGCGTGTGTGTGTCTGCATTGGTGCTGGGAGTCTGGCTCGTGTCCGTGAGACCGAATGGAGGGGAAATCCATCCATTTGTGTGACGACCCCAGAGGAAATTCCAGAATGGATTTCCAGGAGGATTCCCAGTACAGTTCGGACCTGTTTTTAGGCGGGACACTGTCCGTGTGGCATGCTGGCCGCTGGGTATTTTAGAGCAGTTTATATCAGGCAAGATCAATCGCTAAACTCTATTAGCCTCAACTGGAATTTACACTAGGAGGCCTTTTGTGCCTCACACCTCACCGAAGCATGTCTGGGCGCTGCAGCCTGTCTCCACCATATCCACAGTAGCGGAGTTCTCAGTGGCACCGCTGTGGTCTTTTCTCAGCAGAAGAGCGGTCAGTCTGTAGCCAAGTGCAGCCATGTGACGGCTAGTGCAGTCATGTGATGAGATGCTGGTCTGTGTTGTCCTGTCCAGTGGCTGCCAGTCATACTGTATTCATGCCAGTTTCTGTCATTCACTGTACAACCAGCCAGGGATGAGGAACCAGCAGGTTACTACAGGGACATGGATCCCTCACAGCAGTAAGGAAAGTCATTTGTTGTGGTGAATTGGTATTTCTGTCACTGTTAGCATATTGCTTGGGGCTGGATGTGCTCTTGTTTTGATAGTTAAATAATTTGAAATAATTCCAATGTCCCATGTTTTATGTACTTATTTGTGGAATATGAAATTGGAAACTGATTCTCTCCTTTGCCCATTTGTCTGAAGCTGGTATTTCTCACTCTCTCTGTTCATTGATCTTGACGTAAGTGTGACTCAGCGCCTGGAAAACAGCTCTAAACATGTAGCACAAATTTGCCAGTATAATGAAGAGCGGCCTCTGCCTTGAGACTCATGGGTCCCTGCTACCCCCTGCCTGTCTTTGTCCTGCCTCTTCTGCTCGCATTGTGTGCCATTTACATTAAATACATTTTTACACACAAAGGCATTCAATCACATTGTACAGGCACCCTACTATTAGCACAATTTATGAAGATAATAACTAATTTAAAAAACTAATTTCAAAAAAATGTTTCTTGAAAGCACATAGCTTCATGAGAACATTAATAATGATGATACTTTGTTGACTGCTTGTGGGTAAATTCTCTTTTTGCCTGCCCCATCGTGCTCTCCAAGGCACGCAGATAGGTGACAGTGAGCTTGGCAGTGAGGGGCAGCTGCCTGCAGTGAAGCCTGTGGAGCTGGGGGTTAAGGGCCTTGCTCAAGGGCCCACAGACCCATGACTGTTCTACTGACGCCGGGCTTGAACCAGTGACTTTCCAATCACAGGCACAGAGGCTCAGCCCACTCGGCCACATGCTGTCCCCATTAGTGTTGGTGGTTTTGGTTGTTCTTTCACACATATTAGAAGGAGCATCCCAGGGGCCCCCCTGGCTCAGAAGCCCCTGCCGGATTGTCAGCGGGCCAATGCCCAGATGAGCTTCCTCTCGGAAGGTGACCATCCTCTGAGCTGAGCTTCCTCTCGGAAGACGACCATCCTCTGACCTGAGCTTCCTCTTGGAAAACGACCATCCTCTGAGCTGAGCTTCCTCTCGGAAGACGACCATCCTCTGAGCTGAGCTTCCTCTCGGAAAACGACCATCCTCTGAGCTGAGCTTCCTCTCGGAAGACGACCGTCCTCTGAGCTGAGCTTCCTCTCAGAAAACGACCATCCTCTGAGCCAAGTCGGTCGCCGTCTCATTAGAGTTATAGCCCTGACATTAGTTGAATATGTTCAGTTTGGAGAACGGTTATGTATTCCCTTGCATCTGGAATCCAGGTGTTCTGAGACTGACACAGGGTAAATAATACCTGATGCAATAGTACCTTTTCTTTCTCAGTCTCTATGGAGAATGATTATGCGGCTGCCAGTTCCCTTTATTGTGTAGTAGCATTAAATGAGAGTCAGAAAATCAATCATTAATGCCTTATTCATGGGGAGTCAGAGAGCCATATCAAAGGCAGTTGGGACGCTGAGGACAGCCATGTGATGCTGCTGTGCCTCTTTTCTGACCCCCTGCATCTCAGACTGCTGTGAATAGGGAGCTGCCTTTGTCCGAGGCTGCAGAATCTGTGTTGTGCACAATCTTCACAGAGATGTCCCTCACAGGGAAAAAAAAACGGACAAAGGACAGTCATCAAAGAGATAACAGTCGCGGCAGACAGGCCTCACGCCAGACCTTCCACACAGAGACATTTATCGAATTAAGGAGTGACCCCGCATCACACATCATGGTGTTTTTAAAAACCAGGGGATTTCCTTCTGCCTCTAAGGCATCAAAGTCATCCCTTTCTTTTGAGAACTGAGCAACGGATGATGTCCCAGATCTCTCCTCAGAGGGCTGCTCACTGTTTGGCAGTAAGTGTGGCGATGTGAAGATGCCGAACCACCGGATGCGTTTAATGAGAGTGTCTGTGAGCCTTATATGTGAGCCTTAGACACAGAGAAGGGGCTGACTCTTCTAGCTACTAGAAGAAGAAAAGCGAGTTCTTCAAGGCAGCCATATGACACATCTTAAAATGCCTCTTACTGGGAGGAAAAGATGTACTACATCGCACTGAAATTCATTAGGACCCTTTATTAGTTATTTATAGTGTAATGCTCATTGTATTTCCCAGATGGGAATACATATGGTTTTAGGACTGGTCTGCCTCCACTGCAGACTGTCCTTAGTGCGATAACTCAAAAAGTATTTGACAGATCTTTTTCAAACTTTACAAACATACTGTCTGGGTGATGATCTGGATGTGTCAGATTTTAAGACAAAGTTGAAGCAGGGCTGCAGAGAGTAGTGCAGCCTCAGACATTCCGTCAGTGCAATAGCTCAGAAAGTATGGTGTGGAAGGAGTAAGGATTAGATGGGAGAGGAGTGACAGGGCCATCTAGGGAATTACGTTATTGTCATTTTGACAGCATCTAGGTTATAGTTTTAGAGCCTGTGCGCCACTAAATGGTTTTCAGAATTTTGTGAATACTGTAATATATTTCAGCATACCAGCTGATCAGTGCATGTCAGCCTGCACAGATTCACCTGGAGCCCTTTGAAAAAAGCCATGTCCTTCAAAGCTCATTTCTTTTGCATCAACTTTAATATTTTACACCCATACTTTCTGATGACTTTGGGGGAATATGCAATATGTCAGCATATTAAATCCACCTAGTCGTTTTGTCTTTTTCTATATTTTATTCAATTATTTAAATTTTTCACCCGCATTGCTGTGCCCAGTAGGAATGTGGGATTTGTTCTCATTTCCACACGGTTCGGTGTGAGGAAAATCTCCAGGTGTGAACGCGCACATTCCTTCTCCATTCATCTTATCATCACCTCCCAAAACTTCACTTTGTAGGTGATAATCAACCATTCTGTAACATTCTCCCCATGTTCCTCCCCCCTTCAATCCCACCCACCATTTCTCACCCCCTTCTCCTCCCCCTTCTCCTCCCTTCCCTGTCGCGCAGGAGCTGCTGTTCAGCGTGTGTGCCCTGAACGTCATCTCCACCATCGTCTGCGCCCTGGCCACGGCCATGTGCTGCATGCAGATGGTGTCTGCTGATGTGCTGCAGATGGTGAGTTCGCTCCCCGTGGGAGGAGCCCCCCCCCCTGGCCTTCTCAGTCCCAGTCGGTTTGATATGGGAAAAATTCACATTGTGGTATTTTTGCCAACAATATTGCAATATTTATAAAACACAAAATTGAAAATTTACCCAAAATAAACTCCAAAGACACCTAGTTATTATCTACCAATAAAGTCTGTCATATAAGTTTGTCCTGTTGCTGAGAGTTATGCCAACAGACACAAAGCAGTGTCGACAAATCACTTGCTTTTGCTCAATATCATCTCTGTCGAATCCGAAATATTTCCATTCAGCAGAAGACTAATGTCTTTTGGTGAGCAGTTATTGCTTTATTTTCTCCTCCTCGCTCATTTTTCTTGAATTTTTTATAAACATGCCACACTGTCTATGAGCAAGGACGAGCATGATTACGAACCTCTGATCTAATGAAAAAACAATGGCGGTTTATACTTAATAATCTTTAAAAGTATTAATCATTAAAATTGCAAAGCTTGATAAATTTTGTTTCCTATTACAGAGTAAAATTATTTTAGCAAAACTTATTGATGTTGTCAGTCAAGTTGACTGTCATGGTCCTTGTGATGTGACAGTTGCATGTGCATAACATGCAGTGTCCTTATTAACATTGCACATTGTGCTGGCCTAGTTCCTGTCCTTCTGCAGTTCCTCATAGGAGTCCTACATTGGCATTGAATATGTACAATTATGCTACTCTAACCCATAGCATTAGCCACCATGGGTCTGGTTATCCTGCCTTGTGCCCATAGCGTCCGGGATGCTCTCCGGACCCCCCACAACTCTGATTAGGACAAGCAGTTTCAGAAAATGGATGAATGGATGGACAGGTGGATGGACGGATGGGTCTGGTTAGCTAATAAGGACTCTCTACTCCTTTTCCATAAACTAGAGAGGATCCTAAAATAGTTTTTTTCATCCAGATTGGTTTGTTCATCCCGGAAGAGAGTCTATCCTTGAACCAACCTTTGAACCTGTTCCTCCACATCACAGGAAGTGCGTACGCCTGTTCCTCCACATCACAGGACGTGCGTACGCTCCTGAGTGGAAGGCTGGACACTCTGTGTCTAGGTTTTAGAGCTTTATGTCGTGCACTCATATGTCCAACCTAGTGACACATTAACTACTCCACATTTGCCCCTGTATCAAATAAAAAGAAACTCAAATGTCACAGACACCTACTTAATACATCTGCCAAATTTCGCCAGAGAGAGCTTTTGATTAGAAGGTAATAAAGTTCCGTGAGTGTAAAGTTTTAATAGAGTTTACGAGTCGCAGCGGCTCTGTAAATGGCACCATACACTTCTGGAGGCTGTGATTGATAGCGGCTGTGCTTTATGAGGACGGCTGCAGCTCCAGGCTCAAGTTGGAGGCTTTGCCTGCTCTCAGGAGTCCAAGGTGCTGTGCTTGCAATCAGCATGCTGATAGTAATTTCAACATCTTGCCCTGTGCACAGGGCTGTAAAACTGAAAGGAGTTTTATTACACCTGTTCTCTACCTGGCTGGGGTCCCAGCAGCGAGTTTAACACATTAACTTTTAACACATTATTAAAGCATTCACAAAAGAAACATCCGCCAGACCACAGTAAACCTCTGTTATATGTTAAATGCTAAATGTTTCACAAGCTGTTGAACTTTACACTGTCTAGAGATGCAGGTTTCTGATGGTGTGAGATCTATTAATCTATTTCTATGCGGTCTGAACATGAAGCACTTTGACTCTTGATGAACAGAGAAAAGTGAGAAATGTGACGTTTCAGGTTCAGAGCTGTGGTGTGTAGCATTGGTCTCCCCTGCACCTTCAGGGATAAACATATTTTGGGGAGATGTTCTGATGTTCTGGCATTGTCAGTGATGTCCCACACTGCTACTTCCTGTAAGTGTCTTCCTTTCGCATGATCATGCTTGTTTCTTGAGTTTGTTTTGATCCTCCTTCCCCTCGATCTTCAAAGACCTCTTTTTTAAACCTCTTTGACACATGTGTGTGTTTGTTTGTGTGTGTGTGTGTGTCTGTGTGTTTGTTTGTGTGTCTGTGTCATTGTGTGTGTGTAGACGGGTGGTGGTGGGTGACCTTGACATTATTCTTGAGGTCCGGGGAAACACCACCGTGTTTTTGTTGGGAATTTGCAGAGATCATTGCTCCTCCACTGCTGCCGTGGTTCAGAGCTGCCACATTAGGGGATCACTGTAATAAAGCTGATTTCTGTGATTAGACATGATTAGAGTGTCTCTGTGGTAACACCTGCATGTCCCCCCCCCCCCCCCCTGACCGTTTCAGTTCATGCCACACCGACGAACCATGAGCACTGACTGCCTGCCCCCTCACGGCTCTCTGCTGCACCAGACGCTCGACTTTGACGAGTTCATCCCACCCATCCCCCCGCCACCCTACTACCCGCCTGAGTACACCTGCACCCCTGGCATGGACACGCAGAGGTATGGTGCCACACACTCTCCCTCCTCCACACTCTCTTGCCCAGTACCTTGCCGTTCTATATTTAGGAACACTTTGTTCAAAAATAATGAGTTCTCCAGCCTTCAGGCTGTGAAGGGTTGTTCTCTGCGGCGAGTCGGGTTTGGCACGTGTGACCCCCTCCTCTGCCGTTCCGCGGGTCACTCACCGCAGTCGCACACCTGATTATGGCTGCATCTCTGCCGCGCACCGTGATTTACGCGCGGAAGAGTCTGATTGAAGTGTGCACAGCAGCTGAGGGGCGGGGTACCCCAGCTAGCGATGGCAGTGTAACGGACAGGCGGAGAACGATTGTTTTGGTTCTGACATACAGAACAGAAAAAAAGGTTTTGTCACAGAGAACACTCGCAGTGTTACAACCGTCGTGTAACCATTTTGAAAACCCGTTGTGCCACAGGCTCTGGTTTACTGACTTCCTGATGACATGTGGGAGCAATCCCCATTTGTATAGGGCTTAGAGCAGGGTGGGTTTATAATGAAAGGACTCTTCAGTCATCCCCTGTCACCAGACTTGGCTGGAGGAGCAGGAATACCGCAGGTTTGCGAAGTTTCCAGCACATACCTGGAGTCCTAACGAGAGACCGGAACACGTCTCCGCATCGTTTTGCTTGAATTAGCACTGGAATGTCAGAGGCCGGTCGATCCTGGTCGGAACCCTTACTTACAAGCTGCTTCTCTTAAATAATTATATTAAAAGTGCCCCAAAAAAATTATCATCCTTCGGTTAAATTCATTCGAATTATTATTATTGCTAAAATGCAGACATTTATTTTATTATTTTATTTGCACTTCTTAAAATCCTCTTTCAGTTTACTCACTCATATAGCTAAGGTGTTTCCAAAGGAGCTGTTGTTCCTTAACCACTCTGCCACCTGCTGTCCGTAATGTAAGCCGACAGCTTCATTGCCTTGACTGCATGTGTGTGACAGGGCGCTGCACCTGGACTTCCCTCACTCACCCTTCAGCACCATCTACGGGATGCCCATCAATAGCCCTGGGATGCTGTATCCTTGCGAGCTGCCCCCACCCTACGAGGCTGTGGTCGGCCAGACCCCAGCCAGCCAGGTCAGCCTGCATGCTGCCCCGACGCTCCTTGCATGTTTCTCTTTTTTTCCAGTCTGTTTGGAAACCCAGATTTAGCCCCGATCGCTTAAAAAACCAGGAAGGAATCCCATTTAGCGGACAGCCCAAGTTTCCCATGTTAATTCCAGGGAGGTCTGAGGTTTGAGGGAGGCACATGTCCCGCTACACTGCCGTCGCTGAAATTAACTTAACAGCAAGCTCATTAAATCATTTTTAATTTCTCCTACTCTTTCCAGATCCACCTACACCTGTGTTTTTTAACCATGTGCATTAAAACAAAATCGCCCCCTGATTCACTCAGTGGCCTTTAAAACAGAAAATGGGAAGCTGTCCTTATTGAGGACCTCTGCTGTTTTCTGCCACAATAAAAACCCATTGATAATGTGTCTGACGCCCTGTAGTGTGTTGTGCCTTCCTTACATGCTGCAAGATCTATAAATAATGATAAAAACACTTTTTCGGACTATAACCCCCAAGGTCCACAATGCAAATGCAGGAAGTGGCTTTAATGTCACACGTAATTACTAGCAGTGTAAAGTCATGGTAAAACAGCACTGTGTTGTTTGTCACAAAGAGGCACCTTTCTGCTAGATTTCCTAGTCATGAGGTTGAATACCAGACATTACTAAAGAATTACATCTGTTTTTTTCGCTGGTCAGCAGGGTGGTTATAATTGGCTGAGATCGGTAACGTGGTTCTGTGAGCTGACTGTGTTACCTCACAGAGTGCAGCCATTCACACTGCTTGTGCTGACAGAGGCTGCTTATTAACGATCGCCGAGCTCTTACTCCTCTCAGACACAGATACGCATCGCTACGTTGATAAACCAGCAGTGCAACGCTGGCTAAATCACTGCCATGAAACATATTAATCTTACCGATTTCCAGGAAAAATCTCACACCTTTCCAAGCATCCATTAGTGTAACTTGATTCCCTGGAGAGTCCTGGGTGTTCCAGGGAAATTTGGGCTGTCCAATTTATTAGAAAAATAATTGTCATAGGAAACTTTACATAAGATTAAATCAGTTTGTCACATGTAATGTGCATGCAAGCACACAATCCAGTGACAAACGTGTGAGCAGCAGGGGTAACTTTGTGTGTGTGTGTGTGTGTGTGTGTGTGTGTGTGTGTGTGTGTGTG